TCAAGTTAAATCAGAATATGGTGGCTGTTCTCGATCCAATGAAGTATTCTCAACTAGTTCAACCTCTAATTGTTTGCTTGGATCATTCTCTACTGAAGAAAGCTCTAGTTTTGGTTGGAGATGTTTGATTTCTCAGCTATCGTTGGCATTCTCCACTGCAAGTTACAATAAGCAGATGGAGGTTATGAAGTTTGAACTTCAAGGTGTGAAGATGTCGATTTCTAAGTCCAATTTCTGCAAGTTATTAGGGCTTTCAACTGCTGAAGATATGATTGCTCCAGACAAAATTTATGCATCAACTATCATTCAGGCTTATCATCAAATGGGGTACAACTCTGATTTATCCGTTATTTCTCGATTTAAGAATTCTGCACTTCCTCCTATTTGGAATGCCTTGTTTACAACCATGTTCAAATACTTTTATGAGCGATCAACTGGCTCTGATAATGCTAGTCGATTCCACACTTTGTTATATAGAATTTATTATGGGGAAAAGATTGATTTTGAAGCCATATTATGGGATCAATTTGTTCAAAGTATTTCTTCGAAACAAAGGATACTGAAATTCCATGTGCTCGGTTTTGGTCAATTGTGGTGAGGAATGTTATGCTCCATTATCATATTCCAGAGATGTGTGACGTTGTGATTTTTGATATTCCCAAGATGCAAATGGCGACGTTCGTTACCTCTGACCCAAATAACTTTTTGATAGTTTGTTCCATTTCGCAAGCTATGTTATATAGGGTTCTTGATGATCACCCTATCGTTATGGGATACTTGAAAACTACAGTTTCTACTGGATTTGGTGGTTCTGAAGAAGAAATTCATGAAGAAGAAATTCCGAAGAAGAAAGTCAAAAAGTTCTAAGCGAAAAGGGAAAACACTTGTGTCTAAGAAATATAAGAAGCATAAGAGGGAAAAGCCTCAACTTGTTATTGAAGAATACTCAAGTGAACATACTACAAGTCTTGATCGAAATGAAAAGGAGTCTGCTCTCAACAATGAAGTCAATTCTAAAAACATTGGGGGGAAATCAATATCTATTTCAGAGCCAATTCAAACTCTTGTTGTCTCTTTGCATATGGAGTTTGAAGCAGACATTTATACTCAGGTTGTTAATGATCCTTTTTTTAACCTTTCTCAAACACCTCCCACTCCACCCATTGTTTCTGAAATCTCTATATTCATACCAATTCCAACAAGTCCATTTTTTGGTCCTCTTTCTCATCATTCAACTAAACATGTTGAGATTCTAATTTTTACTGAGGCAACTTTTGTAACTCAAACCACAATCCATAAAGAACCTCCACCAGAGACTTCTACTTTCGAATCCCAAATGGAGGAGAATAGAACCTCAGGCATCCCTGGTAACACATCTGATGTGGGACCAAATGTCAATATTGGTGAAAATTTGTCTCAATCAAATGTTTCTGCACCAGAAATCACCTCTACTCCACCTGTTACTGCTGATGGTGAAGAAGAAATTCTAATGAAATATGATTCTGAATCAAACAATGAGTTTGTAGCAACTGACTTTGTGTTTCAAGTTGAAAGTGATCAAGAAGATGATGACGCTCAGTCTTCTACTTTCATCAATCCACAATATGAAGAATTTCTCTCTTCTCATCAAGACACAATTCAGAAGTCGGTCAAAGAAGATCTTCGCAAGCTGAACAAGAAGTTAGATGAAATTCTTTCTCAGTCTTCTACTTTCATCAATCCACAATATGAAGAATTTCTCTCTTCTCATCAAGACACAATTCAGAAGTCGGTCAAAGAACATGTTGATAAGCTTTCACAACATCAGAAGCTTGTTGATGATTCGGCAAAACTGGTCAAGGAAGCAACTTCGCAAGTTGCAACCATTCTCACAGAAGTCAAATCAATCGCATCCAAGTAAGAGGCTTTCATGACTTCATTTCAAACATCTTTTGATACAAATGTTGTTGAAATGAACAAGGTGATTCTTAGTTTTTGGACTTCATTACAGAATGAAAAAGAAGCTTTATCTGCTCTCTGCTTTGGGCTACAAAAACACAATGTTGATCATCACACATCCATAGCCAATTCCACTTCTACTATGTAGACAAGTCAAGCTCATGAAAATAAATAATGGATTCTTTGGCTGATTCAACGATGAAGATTAAGGTTCTTAAGGAACAATTGAAATCTGCTGCTTTTGATCTTGGCAAGGCAAATGAAGAACTTTTGTTGGTGAAAAGGCAAAATTTTCAGATAAATCAACGCTTGGAGAAGATTTTTGAAACCAAAGATGCCCCTTATGCAAATTACATTTCCCAGCTTATGGATGCAAAGCTCAAACCAATTTTTGCCAAATTGAATGATGTTACGAGTAGCAGGGCTACTTCGCAACAAGGGGGAGATGAAGGGGTGTTTCCAGAAGATAACATCAATAATCCTTAGCAGATGGGTTCAATGGAAAAGAACAATATGAAAATTCATTTGGAGAAGCAATCTATGGAAGATAAATTGAAGAATTTAAGGGAAAAGAAAACTGGCCAAAAGTGTAATGAAGCTTTTGGTTTAGGAAAAGGAAATGTGAAAATTGTCTCTAAGAAGTTAGATGATTTGAATCCACCATTGACAAAAGAACAACAAGAAGATCAAGCAAAGCTTGATGCATTTTTGGATGAGCTTAATGCTTTGAATGCAAAGCTTAATGCAGAGGAAGCTGAAAAGAAGAATGCAGAAGAAATTATTGCGAATAAGAAAGCTCTATTTCCTCCATGGTCAATCGAAAGAGTTGAAGAAGAAGCTCTCAACAATCCAAAAATCTATTGGTTAGAACCTCAAACCTCTTTCTCAGTTGATAACGATGTTGACTGTCAGATGGATTTTCCTATCACTGTGAAGGCTTTCCAGTTTCGTTGTTTTAAGAATATTCAGAAGATGCCTATGGGGAATACAACAATCAATAGAAAGTTGTTCAACTTCTATGTGAAGCATTTCAAACCTCAATATGAATCTTGGAACATCAAGAAGATTGTTGGTTTGAAAATTGGAAAGTCTGTAAAAGGTTGATGATTTTGTCAATATTCATTTCAAGGCGGTTCGTGGAAACAAGCATGAAACAGACGAGTTTACTTTGGCTGGTCTTCCTTTGATGAATCCTTTTGATTGGATTTTAATTCTCAATATTGTTTCAATAGAGCCTGTCAAGTATGAACCCATCTGCTCGTATATGAAGAGGTTGATAAAGGCATATATCATTAAAATTGCGAAGATGGATATTGAGATCTCATCCGTTTTGAACAAAAGACCGATTGTGAAGCCAATTGAACCTCCATAAAATCTTGATTCGTTGAAGGCAGGATTTATCGAGAATGAGAACTAGGGAGTTGTTTTCAAAGTAAAAGAAAATGAAGTTCCGAAGAAGTGTATATTCTATTTGATTGATAAGCACTTGTACTCTTTTGTGGCTTTAAGTCAAATCCTAGCAAATGCAGTGAAGTTCAAGAAAAAATCTTTTGATGATTTGAAGTGTGTTTCGGATATGATAAAGTGGTGGATCGTAGTTCGTTCTGTTCTTCTGGAGACTATGCCGAAAATGTTTGAATCTTCGAAGAAACCTGAAGAAAGACAACTGAATAAGATTGATACAAAGGGGGAGATTGTAGAGTTCATTGTTATATTGTGTCATCTTGTAATTTTTAGTTCGTTATGTCTTTACTTAGTGTGAGTTATGTTGCGATCTCGCACTTTTTGTTACCTTGAGTTCACAGCCTTGCTGTTGACTTGAGATGTCTTTCATTTATCCCTCTGATGCATATATATAGGGATATTACATAGAAGAACGGGTAAGAGTTGATTTGATAGAATAGTTCTTTTCTTGTAATCGAATTGTTCTGATCTCACTCGTTAATGAAAACGTAATTTTATTTACATCGTGTGTTCTTGTGAATCATATCATTGTTTGATTTGTGAATTTAAACGTTCCTTCAGTGGTAACAATGGCAGTTGTGGTGGTGGGGATGGTGGCGGAGGGGAAAAAATCTGGTGACGCTATATAATCATTTATGATTATAACAGACGTGTCGCGTCGGTACGCCGAAGGGTTAGAGCGGCAGATGTGAAATATATGTATTATTTTGTTTCATTCACCTATTTGAGCAACATATCATTAAGGTTTTGCGTTATACAACTTGGCATACATGGGGTTAAATGTGTTGAAATTCTTTTTAGTAAAACTATTCGTAACACTTTTGAAGTGTGAATTGAAATCACAACGATTGAGATGTGCTTGTTATGACACGATATTATGGGGCCAAATTGAGACATGGTGATTGTTGATTATTTGGTTTGGAACATGAAACGCTTTCTTAATTGAATAATTAGAAAAAACATTTATTGGAATGAAACGATTTCTTGTTTAAATGAAAGGTAGAAAGTACTACATTCAAAATAGAATTGTAGTATCGTTTTCTTAATTGATGTTTTAGAAAACGTGGAGCATCTACCCTTTTATATTGTTTACTTTTGGATTTTGAGCCCATAGATATGGGACTTGTAGGTTTGACAATTGACAGTCCTTATTGTCAATTTGGGCTGGGCCCAAAGTTGAAGATGCACCTCTACTCCTTTAGTGTCTCTATAGATAAAATGTTACCAATTACCAATGACCTATTCCAACTACAAATATCAATAATTTTGTTATAGAACCAATAATTATAATCTCTTTTCGTTTTCTCTGGAATTTGTTCGTTGGATATGTTTGACCAATACGGATCAAGGTTGTTGGGATGGATCATAGTTTTTTCAGCCAGTTTTAACCGGTAAATGCACTGACTTTATCAGACATGATTGGTCTGTTTTCGTTTCAAAACGAACAAGTTATGGTGGGAATGTAATTAAAAGCATTTGATGTTAGGTACAAGAGCACAAACACCTCATATGCAAAACATGAAATAAATCAAAATTGCAAAAAGGGTAAATCCCAAACTTGTTCATCACCATAGCCAACAAGCTTCTTTAAGCCTAATATAACTAGAAGATTGGGTCTTTCTTTATTCAAAACAAAAAAACTAATTCAAAATTACATTACATTATTCCCACACACATACATATTAATCTAATTGAATATAAACTTTCCAAAAAAAAAAAAGCTTGAAAAAACATGGAATATAGGGAGAAGAACCACCCCCTCCCCTCCCATCCCCATCCAATTTCAAGAACAGGGTGAGAGGCAAAACAAAAACCAGATGCAAATTCGTTGAGAAATTGCAATCGAGATTATCAAATCACACTTGTTCATCACCATAGCCAACAAGCTTCATCAGGAATGGGAATGGGATCCAACAGAGTAAAAATGGCGGTCCTTTCTGCAAATCGTCTATCTTCAATATATCCCCATTGTCGAGTTATCATCGCCTTCCTCCCAACAAGAATAAAAAATTAGGCTAAAACCCTAAAAATACTTCAGTCAATTGAAAGGGTAAAAACCCTAAATTCTAACAATTCTCCACCACACGAATTTCAGATAATGCAACATATATAGTTATATAGACGACGATTGCAGCAAGTACCAGATGATGATTTCAGCGAGTATCGTCTTCTCTACGGCCAGACGACGGCGGTGGTGGCCCGGAAAGGGACGCTAGCAAATTCAAATGCCCTTGAGTCATCGGAAGGTAGTTTCCAACCCTAGCCGCGGATGCCTCTCCCATTGTTTGCTCCTGGTGAATGAACCTCCCTTGTTGCGAAGACATCGCTAGAGGTGAAGGCACGACCATCTCCGGCGCTGCGAAGCTCCACACCTGACCGAAATCTGACCTGGCTGGTAGAGCCCAGAATCCTCCAGGGGTGGCGGTGGTGACTGTACCGGAAGACAAATTATGATCTTCTTTGTGTCCGTCAAGACCATCTTCATTCGCCCGGAGTCGTTTTCCGAGTATAAATGGAGTCGGAGAGAACAGGTGCTGGGAAGGGGGTTTCTGATCCAGTGCGGCGGAGAGGGAGCAATTGGCATTGGAGTTACGAAGCGCAACTGAAACACTGGAGAAGCTAGCTGGATTTGTGCCGGTGCCGGTAGCGGCGATAATCGAGGGTTCCGCTTGCCGGAGCAGCCATTCAATTGTCTGACCATCAGACTTGTGACCAAGCTCACGGGTGAGCTGGAAAACCCTAGCGGCGCAGATGATAGGCATACGGATACGGCGACCACGGCCATCAACCTTACTATGTCGGTCCTTCGCCGGTGGTTTCTTGACCACTAAAGCACCGTTACCGGACGGCAGCTTGGCGTCGGATGTTGACATAATACACACAGTGGTGAGTGTTAGTATGTGTGTGTATGAGCTGGTGAGTGGCTCTGAATGTTAGGGAAGGGGGAAAATTAGGAGTAATGATTGAGAGAGAAGGAGGAGGTGTTGGAGACAGAGGAGGGGCACATGGACGGTGGGACCTGCTGGCTTAAAATCCCAACCAGCTCACGCGCCGCTTAACGACTACAGTTTTCATAGGTGGAATCAACGCGCTTTTCCAAATTAGGTCTAAATTAGGGGGTAAACGGCTATGGAAAGTTTTCATGCAAACACTTAAGAAGAATGAGTATGTACAAGCTAAAAAAAAATTAAAAGAAATATGTAAAAAAAACAAAGTCATAAAGAAAAGATGTAGAAAATATTATAAAAAAGAAAATAGATAAATAATATAAAAAAAATAATTAAAAGAGTTGGAAAAAATCTATATTTAGATGAATTTGTAAAAAACCATACTTGTTAAAAATGATGTAATTGAAGTTGCCAAAATAATTTTTTTTTTAAAAAAATTGTAAGTTTTTCTGATAAAAGTAGGCTTTTAAAAAAAGTTGGTTGTAAAATGTTGGGGAGAGAGATTGTAAAACGAGTTTGTATCAAATTTATAAAATACACCAAAAGTTGTTAGAAATTTATAATACAGAAAGGGTTGTGCTATAAGTACCCCCTTAACCAATTTTACCCCCCTAACATCAATCAAATCAACTTTTTATTTTTGATTTGACATTTTTTTTTTCCTTTTTGTTTTGATTTTTTTTCCTTTTATTTTATATTTTAATATTATTACTATTAAATTCGGATGACATTTTAAAATTCGGTAAACATTATAAATTCGCATGACATTATAAAATTCGAACGAAATTTTTTTCCGTAATTAAAAAATATAAAAAATATATTTAAAAACCGATTTTATATAGTCGTTTGAATTTATAATGTCTTCCGAATGTTAAAATTTTGTACGAAATTTATAATAATAATAATAATAATAATGAAAAAAAAAATTAAAAACAACAAAAAAACAAAATAAGAAAAAAAACAAAAAAAAACAACAAAAGACAAAAAATCAAATCAATGAGTGGAATTGAAAAAGGAAGAGGCACTTAAAGAAAACCTCATACAGAAAACATAGGAAAAAATTAAAAAGAAGTTTTGTACAAAATTTGAAAAATAAATTGGAATATGTGCCAAAGTTCTAAAAAAAATCCCGGAGAGGAGATGGCGCGGGTAGCGTGCTAATGAGTGACTCACTACTTCCCTTAAAAGCAGAACAAGCACAACAGTAAACAACGGCTTACCCTTATTGGTCTCTTGAAGTATTTGTTAAACCAATGTCATCTTGTCTTATTTGGCTAGATCAGTCGGACTTTATGTCATTAACGTTTTAAAAGGAATGTTCATTCGTCGTCTCTATTAATATGAATTATGTCTCTAATTCCTTAAATGTTAGGATTGTAATGGCAGGAAGAGTGACAGCAAGTAAGAAAGAAGTTCTTACTCGTAGATTGACTTTCTTACTAAGCACATGGCGGCATATTTGAAAAAGAAAAAGAAAAAAATGAGAGGAAGAGAATTCAAACCCTAATAACTTCCTTTCAACGCTAATTATGCAAACCATCGAGCTACATACTAATTACATTTAATTTTCTTACAGGCTTCTTTTAAACACTATCAACATTAGATAATAATAAAACTATTATTCATCTTTTCATAATTGTTAATAATAGATAATGTCAAAAATACTTGTACCCAACTTATATATGATATCTAAACCCGAGTTGACTTGGGATGAGGACCAAGACTAGGTATATCCGAAGTGAAAATCTAGGATTGGAAACGAAGATATGGATACACCTTGGTTCCTCGAACCCGAATTGAAAACCGATCTTAAAATTACTTGAATAATATATATATATATATATATATATATATATATATATATATATATATATATATATATATATATAAAAGTTAACGTGTTTCTTACATTTATTGTGTGCTAGAATGCACCAATCGGAATTTTTAGTAAAATTAAATAATTATTTAATTAAATAAAGATAGATATTAAATGATTTCCATAATGTATATTAAATAATATCCATAATTATAATTCTCTTTTTATGGAAACTAATTAAATTTGTCATTAATGTCAGCAATAACATTCTTTCATAATGAATTCGCATCTACGTTTTTATGTATAGGTTCGTGTTTTGTTTCAGGAATCACTCACTTAAAATACAATAAAGTTGCATGGAATATGAAGAACGAATGTGTATTCTACTAGAATACACTCTCATTCTTCTAGATACGAATTCATTCTGAAAGAATATTATTGTTAACATTAATGACGAATTTAATTAGTTTCCATAAAAAAAGAATTATAATTATGGATATCATTTAATATACATATAAATATGAAAATCATTTAATATCTATATTTATTTGATTAAATACTAATTTAATTTATACTAAATGCTTATTTGTGCATTCTAACACACAATAGATGTGAGAAACATTTGAACATATCTCTCTCTATCTCTCTCTCTCTCTCTCTCTATATATATATATATATATATATATATATATATATATATATATATATATAGATGGACACATACTATTCGGATGCATATTAATGTGATACATGTTGGATTAGGTGTCTAAGCTCATTACTATAATGGGCATATACTTGAATTGATGAGAACACAGTCCTTTTGGGTTGCCCTCAAACCTGGTAATTGAATAGGATAACTTTTTTATTAATTTATTATATGATTAATAAATTAATTAGAAATTAAAATAAATGATTTGTTAATATATTATGAGAATAATATATTAAAAATATTTTTATTTAATTAAGAATTAATCAGAAATTAATTAGATTAATTTTGGGGTTAATTTAATTAATTAAAAGTACAAGGACCTAAGTTGTAATTGTTCAATAGTTAAACAAAATGGTTCAGAACCTTCCCCATGAGAGGTGGACGGTTTTTGGAGTGATTCTAGGGTTTCTAGAATATCCTCTCGAGATAATTAGGAAACCAGATAATTACCTGATTTAAGATATTATTCTTTTAATCAAGTAAGGGTAATCTAGGATTTCTTGGTCAACTATAAATAGGGTCTCATAGCCTCTAAATTTCGGCCACTTGACTCCTCAAGATTATAGCCGAAATTTTGTCTCTTCTATCCTCTCTCTTCAAGTTTCCTTGGTTGCTAGGCTTTGGGTGTGAACCATCAGAGGCACAACACTTGTGGTGCTTGCTTCCAAGAGTATGCGTGTAAATCCTAACTTATTTGTTAATTTCGAAAATACCTAGAGTTCATAGGTTTCTTGTTGTTTAATAGAATGTTACTTCAATAGTGTGATGACATAGATCTAATAGGTTGCATGTACCCTTAAGTGTTAAGGATTTATCCACGTTAATACATGTAAAATCCATCAGTGGTATCAGAGCTAGGTTGTCTAACAACTGAATGTACATTGCTTTAACCTAAACAAATCAAATGTTTTCTGTCAGACTAATCTCACGACGTGAGATTGAATGCTCACAACGTGAGCACAATTAAATTTGGAATTTTGTTTTCTGTCAGACTGTTCTCACGACGTGAGAGTTAATGCTTACGACGTGAGCACAGTAAATTTCAAATTTTTGGATTTTCTTGCCTAATTTGATTTATATGGTTGTTCTTTGGTAATTATCTCTTATAAAATCTGCCAAATCCAAGTTTTGGTCATATTAGATAATTAAATAAAACCCTAAATGTTATGAGATAATCATAGACAAGATAATGATTAATTATAAGAGTACTATTATCCTTATAGATCTTATTATTAATTTAATTAAATGATTAATTAAAAGATAGTTAATAAATCCATAAAATGATTTAAATTTAATTAAATTAAAAGTTTAATTTATTAAAAGATTAAACATTGCAATTTTGAAAATGATTTAAAATATACCTTATACTATGTATATATAATTAAACGTTTAATATATATTATATGTATAAGAATAATCAGTCAAATCGCTAGTACGCCTCATTCACGAAACCATGTTATAAAAAGGGTATAAGGAATAAGCCTATAAAATGGTCGTTGAATGGGTGTCCACTCTCACCCACCACTCTCCTGTGTGGTGGAGGGTCGTTAGCCGAGCGGATTTGATAGGACATAATCTCATTAATAATTATAATTACATAAAGTAACTAAACTATTTTAAAATCCCACTCTTAGTTACTTTAAGAAAAATGTGAAATGTATGTTAATCCATGAAAACGCACATCATAATTTATATGTCATTAGTGGAGTGTGTGTGGTTAACCGGCACACTAATAGGGACTATAAATAGATATGATGGACATCCCGAAAAATTATCGTTGTTGATGGAGTGTGTGTGGTTAACCGACACATCAATGTGAGATGATAAATGACATCGAGGTTGTCAAGCGAGTTTGCATGGTTATTCACATCTCTTTTGTGATCCTCGGCATCCCAGTCACAAAAGTAAGAGCATAATCTGAGATTAAACATGTCATTGATTAGATTCAAAGAATCTCAAAAGATCTTGGAGTTTCATAAGATTGAAATTGGTAAAAGCCTTACCTACCTAAAATAGATTCGAATTTGATTACAGCATCCCTCTTCAAAGTTTCAATCGATAATATGGATCCTAGCCTTAATTTAAAATTTATGGGTTAATGACTAAGGATTAAAATCAACTAACTTGAATTCTTTTTTCTCCCATTATAGATGTTAAGTCAAGAAAACAATGACCTTCCTCATTCTTTTGGAAATGGTCTTCTTTTTCCTTCTGAAGATGATCTTTCACTTACTAATCAAGGTGAAAACATTTTCTCTTCTTCGAGAAATGGTGGAACTGGACGTCATGCTTCTTCAACTCTTCCACCTCCTCCAGTGACTCTCCCAACGTCGTGTTTTCCTCGAGTTAAAAGATACGAAACTACTCAAGCCCTATTGGCATGTAGACATCAAGATGGAA